ACGTCCCATGGTCTGTCTCAACAGACCCACCTGAGGCGGAAATCCGTATGGAGATCCAAGTCTTGAGACGTCACAAAGCGCCGTTATCCGATGACCTTCCCCTGCTCTATTTAGAGATGGTGGAATAAAGCTTGTTAGAGAACTACAAGTTCTGTTGTCTAAAGTTTGGAACACAGCAGGTCCCATCGTGGGGGGAATTGATTGTTATTCCCATCTTCTAGAAGAGCCCACGCAACGACTGCGCCAATCATAGGGGTACAAACCTTATCCTAATAGCGTCAAAGCTGTTGGCGTCCGTCATTCTCCGTCGATTATACACTATGCGTGAGGTGCAGGCTGGGTTTCGCACCGGTCGTGGATGCAACGATCAAATCTTCACCCTCCGATAGTTGCTAGAGCACCGTCATGTCTACCAAAGACTAACGATCATTGTATTCTTAGACATCCGCGCGGCCTTCGACAGCACTATGGAACTGTTTGCTGAGGAATGGAGTACCTGAGAATTATTTGTCGATCCTCAAAGAGTTGTATCGTCATACCTCAGGTCGGGTTAGGGCCTACGGCCAGCTTTCGCCACCCTTCGCCGTTTCCAGTGGAGTTTGACAAAGCTGCCCTATATCCCCATTTCTTTTCAACTTTGTCATAGATGTTCTTCAGAATGTCTAGTCAGCGGTGGGGTCGAACTCCGCCCAAGGAACAGTGTCCTTGACGTAGATTAGGCCGACGACATCGTCTTGCTGGGTGATATTATATTTATTTCACACACGTCTGAATTCAGACTGTGTGCCAAGCAACTCATGGTACGATAACCTTAATAAAAAGAGAAAGTTTAGTTATTTTCATGCTGACGGAATACTGTTGGGTTGCCCAGACTAAAGCAGATGAATTTTCTTAAGGAATTCACAGCCGGAGCCTTGAGCTAGCCAAAGTCTAACCAGCAAGGCTTCGGGGCGGTGTGAAGCCCGCAATCCATTAGGAGCCGGTGTCTGGTTCATCGGATCATATGCCCTTTGAACGGGGTCAAACGTCCAAGGTGCCCAATAAACCCCGATGCCCAATTCAGCCGGTGACCATTGCCACAACTGGAAAGGTGTGGGTGTGGTTCATACGGATTCATCTTGGTTGGTTTGGGATCAGGGTTTTTGAACAACTCCCCTAGGTTAACTGCCAGTGCTGTACGATGATGACGAACTGTCCACCAAACCGGTTATAGCCCCGGATATCTGCTTTTCGTCCTCCCACCAAAGTGGGAAAACACCTCCATCTCGGGAAGGCAGTAAGTAGGGCTTCCTTAGCAGAGACTGTTTGAGACTCTTGGTCGCATGGGAGCATTTCGCGAGGTGCAAGATAAGGGTGACCAGTCACAACCCTAAACACCCACCCCGGAGCATACTGAAGATTTCGGAGGCGGTCTGATAAGAAATGACCATAAGAACTCCACTGCTGTCGGTTAGCTGCCATATCCTTCAATGTCTCCAACCAACCAGTTGCGGAATCTTTCGGACCCCAACCTGGAAGGCGCGAGACACCTACTGTGCCTTATGGCCCTATACCTCGTCTCCGCGTCATCTGTTGACCTCTTGGACATCCGAACCCGTCCAAAGGGTGTATAATCCGGCGAACTAGGCACCGGCTCCCGATGGATTGCGGTTTTGACACACCACCCCGCTGCTTTGTGGGTCAGGCTTTGGCTAGCCGAAGGCTCTGGTTGTGGATCAATCAAGAAAATTCACCTGCCCTAGCCTGGGCAACCTGGCACTATTCGGCCCACATAAAAATCATGGAACGGTTTTCTTCATTATAAAGAGCATTGCACCATGATTTGTTTGGCATAGTCTGGCGTCAGACGTGTGTGAAACATATGCTATATATCTGTTAGCCTCCACGTGGTTTACTCCAGCCCGGAGTGGCTACAACGAATAAAGCGCAGTGCGGCAGACGACAGTTGGGTATACGAAACGCCCTAGCCAGCGAAACCTACTAATACGGCTGTCTGTGAAGGGTCGAGTGTATGCTGTAGCAGTTCGACCAGTCCTGCTATACGGTGCAGAGACACGGCCACTAAGGGAACAGGATAAAAATAGATTGTCGGTGTTCGAACACCGCTGTCTACGTAGCATTGCACGTGTCTGGTGGGGTAACCGGACTAGCAATGCTGAGGTTAGGCGTAGAGTTTTAGGCAGTCGCGGTCGTCCACTGGAACAAGTGATCG